GGAAAGGCACCCCACCTCCTCCTGAGGAGCTTAAGGGGCCAGCAATTTAGGGTGCCCGGCCCCCAGTGTTAGTCTGCAGGCCCCGGCACCCCTTTCTCCCGGCACCCGAGCCCCCAGAAGAGACGGACAGAACTGAAAGCCTGTGGAGACGGAGTGGAGAGGTTCTTCTGAGACCGGCTCGTTCATGGAGGACGGGGGGGACGGATGGCCCCTGGGAAGGACGACCAGCCCTGCCGAGCGCCTCCCACGGAGGGATGAGTGTTAAAAAGAGGAAACCGCCGGAGAAGAGCTTCTTCCCACACACAGCAGCCCTAGGTATGCCAAAGCGATTATCGTGGCCACACGAGTGCAAATTACTGCCTACAGTTGTTTTTTTTTTTAATATAAAGATATTAATACTAACCAGCAGACTAAAACGGGGGAAGGAAAGGCATCTGCTTCCTGATTTGTCTCTTCCATAGTTGCTGAAATTCTATTCGAACCGTTGTAAAAGCACCATATTCAAAACGGAATTAGGGATTTGGTATAAAACACAGAGGGCCGCCCCCCCCCCCCTCCAAAGTCCAACCTGGGAGTCGTCTCCTAACGGCCCAAGCGCACGGGGGGAGCAAACCAGTCCTCAGCTGCACTGGGCAGGGAGGGGGGGGGAGTCTAGCCAGACTGACTATGCTCGGCTGGGGGGCTCATCTGTCCCGGAGGGTCGTCCTTCAGAGGGTCACCTGGGGACTCTCCCTCTGGCCGCTGGGCCGTCGGCTGGCCGGGCTGGGGCTCAGCAGCATCTGTCTCCTCTTCCTTCGGCTCTTGCTCCACCTCCAGGAAAGGGGCGTGTGGCTCCTCCTCCTCCTCCTCCTCCTTGGGGCCCACGGGGGTGCTGGCGGGCTCTCTGGGGGGGGAAGTGGCGGCGGCTGCTTCTCCGTCGGCCTCTGGGTGGGATGCTGGAGGTACCCCCCCCTTCGGGGGAGCAGGGCAGCTGGCGGGGGAGACGACTAAGGGAGGATGAGGTAGCTCTTTCTGCGTATAGAAAAGCAGAGGGTCAGAGGGTCCTGACTCCCAACGGTGTCTGGATATGGGGGGAGGGGGGGGCAGAGGCTCTCCAGACGCTCCCTAAATCCTGGCTCCTCCGTCAGGAACAGCAGCCCAAGAGCCCCGCTCAGCCTTTAGGCTCCTCCCGCCGTTCCCTGGCAGCGGAAGGGGAAGGAAAGAAGAGCGCCAGCCACGGGGCGGGGTGGAAGGAAGGGGCGGGCTGGTTTTCACCATGGCATGTCCCTCCCCCCCCCCAAACGATAACTTTCTGGGTTACTAAATGAAGTGGTCTCAGCCAGTTCAGCTCTGCTGCTCTCAGCACCCAGAAGCCCCTCAAGAATCTCACCTTCCTGCGGAACAGGAGGGGCTCTCGCCTGCCAACCAAGCCCCTCAACCTTTGGCCAGAAAGCCCACTCCTCAATTTAAGGAACGGTTCGTCCCAATGAATTGCTCATCCCCAAAAGGGAGAAACTGACCAAGCTTTGCTCTTATAAAACCTCCACCCCCCCCCTGCCAGCACCAAGTCTNTAAGAACTTTGACATTTGATATGAATGTAAGACTGTGGAAGAGATGCACGAAAGCTAATTGTAACCAACTGACACACTTTCTACAAGATGTAATGTAAGATGATTATTTTTGTGTGTGTGTGTTGTTTGTTTAATAAAAATTTCTTGCAAAAAAACCAAAACCCGATAGCAGAATTACAGAGTTGGAAGGGACTTTGGAACTCCCTGCTCGAGCAGGAGATCATATGCCATTTTCAGGCCTCTGTGGCTGTCCAGTCTCTTCTTAAAAGCATCCAGTGATGGGACACCCAAACGTTCTGGAGGCCTTCCTCCGGTTAATTGTTCTCACTGTAAGTTTCTCCTTAGTTCTAGGTGAAGATAAGCCATGAGCAGAATGGCGGAACCAGCAAACCCCCTAAACAGGGGCCAAACCCAATCTGCCCAATAGCCCACCTGGGCTCCCCCATCGACCTGGTCCTGCACTGGGGGAGAACTCCCAAGTGTTTGATGCCTGATGGGAACCCCCTGAATCTCCGGGGTCCAGAGCCTGCCCGTGGTTACTCCCAGGTAGGAGCAGGAATGCTTTGGCCACAGCCTCGGGGCGCAAGTTCAGGAGGCGTTCTCCAGCTGCTGACCAGGGCTCCAGTCGGAAGACAAAGGAAGGAGGTGGGTCACTGCAAGTCAGCTGGAATCACACCTGGAACCAAGTGGGAGGGGTAGCGAGTCTTGGGAGCCCAGCTGACAGCCCCCGATTTCTCCTGCTTGTTCCCATGTCAGAGACCTGGCGTCCCCCGACCCCCCACTGCTGCTCTCCCCTCCTCACCCAGAGCCCTCCACTCCACCCACAATCAGGAAAAGGGTCCTTCCATGGCCCCAAATATGGGCAACCTGCAAATCTTCTCCATCCCTTGACAGACCCTCCTTCCATGAAGGCTGAGCCCAAAAAAATTAAGGCGTAACATTTGGGAATGAGCAACTCAAGTTTCAAGTTTATTTTTAACCTGCTTCGGTAAAATAAAAGTTCCATGTACATTATTTATAAAATGGCTTAAATTAAGGCAAAATCCTGTAGTGTCTAAACAGTGCCCGTCGTTCTGCATGAGAGAGAGAGAGAGCCAGGCCCCCCCCGGGCCCCGCTCCATCCACCGCTCCCGAAAGATCGGGAGAAACGAGGCTGTCGTGTCCCTTCCCCGGCTGGGAGCCAAAAGCAGGGGACCAGCCAGCCACTCAGCAGAAGCCAGTAAACGTTTAATATGCAGGCTTGTAAAGCTACATTTTACAGTCCAAAGAACAACAACAACAAAACAAAAAAAGAAGAATGCAAACACACTACACTGAAACACAAAGACAACACAGAAACCCTCTGGCCCAGGATGCCCAGGCGGAGAAGCTGAAGGGGGACCCGACACTCCCCGTCTTAAGACTATTGTCCCTGGAAGGCTGCCGGTTCCCCCACCTGCCAGCCCCCTGCTGCCTCAATGGG